TAGGAAGGCTTTTTTTGAGTTTTTTTTTTACAAATTCAGAGTGGGGTCTACTTGCTCCGGAGTGCTTGTGCTTTTATGTTGAATGGTTGTTTTGCTTGGTACATATAATGTATTGCCTACAGATTTATATAATGTACAGTGATACAATTTGTTTAAAAAAAACTGAATTTTTTTTTTTGAGTCGACCCCTTTTTGGTGGGTCGGTCGGGTGAGGGCAAACAAACAATATTTTTATTATGGGCCTAACGTGTGACTCAGTAAACGGTGAACTCAGTAGATCGGCAATCAATCCAAGCCTGTGATGCATATGTTTCTCATGGAGTGTTTACACATACATGTACAGTGGTGTAATATGACAAACCATCCTACTGAGAATTGTGTAAATGTTGTTATCCAACTATATATCTAACATATTTCAAATATGACCAACAGAAACTATTGCATATTGTGTATGCAATCTGCAGGTAACAGTAACAGCCCATGTCACAATAATGCTCGAATTATGTAACCGTTACCCTTGCGTAATTTGTAAGTTAGAACTGCTCAACTCGCGACATATGACAATTTGCTCGTACGTAATTTCTGAAAGGACTAGTCTTTCACTTGTTGCCATGTCATCAGGGGTTAATAATGAGATTATTAACTCCTGATGTAATGTAATTACGTTAACTATTGCAATCTAACTGAAATATCTAAGCGTCATTTTATGCATAACAATGTTTTCTCGCCCAGGGAGCAGGTATTTCAACATATACTGAAAAACAAGACAAAATTCCTCTATTGCAATGCTTCAACAACATACGATGTGTTTAAATTATAATGATGATCTATACAAATGATTACCGATGTGTTTTAATAAAACAAACTTAATAATTCTTACGCTGTGTTCAGGAGCAAGCTCCAGCACCAAAGGAGTTTGACCAACAAACATTGTCTTCAACTCTTCCTCAAGGCCACTGAAGTCTATGTTACTGCCATCCTGAAGTAATATAAAACTCTTGTAATAAAATATGCAATAAGACCACCTAGAAGCACTGAAATAATAGTTACTCAATCATGTCTGATTTTAATACATTCAGTTGCATTTATTAATAATATTTCACAATCACATTATGAGCTTTCAAGTTTCCATACAGTATTTCACGGCTTGTTCAACAGAATATTTTTCTCGGAAAATGTCTCTAAGAATTAACCTGTTTCCATTAAGCAGAATATTTGTGTAGTGAATATTATTACAACTGAGACGTTTTAGCTTCATCATTGTATATTATACACCTTAGACTACAGTATAAACTAACCAACGTTGATGATAAAGACCGTATATGAAATACAGGGAATTTGAGGGATAAAAACAGACAATACCCAGGTGGAGTCTTACTCATGGTGATCATACACCTGGTATAGAGGAGGGAAATTGTCCAGTCGCACTTCGTTTCATATAGGAAATATTTATTAGCTTCTAAGTTTGAGGTGTGTCTAATGCATCAAAGCATAGAACCAAATCAAATCACCAGCATCAAATCATCTTGTAAGCCATAAAACACCGTTTTAAAATGCAGCACAAAATGTTTTCTCCCAAACATTATTGCTATCATTGTTACACTTATTTTAATATAGAATCGCACATGTATGGGTCATATCACACAGCTCACAGTATCAGCACATGTCAATACATCATACAGCAGCAGTAGTGTAAGATGGATGTTGACATAGTAGACACACTAGTACCTTTTCCAACGGGAAAGCTTGACCCGAGTAGTCTATATCTAGCTCTTGAAAATTTTCTAGCAGAACTACGATACTCGCTTCCGGCAAATGAAATGGATTCCCAGATTTGAGACCTTTCCAACTGAAATCCTGCATCAAAACATCACAAGTGATTAATATCACACAGTGATAAATACAATCAATGATATGATGACAACTTTACGCATACAGCCAATGGAACAAATATTATACGCATGCATGCACAGAAACAAAACAGTGCATGGTTCGAAATGTAAACATAGGAGTTCTGTTATACGCTGAGAATCCTACCAATATCCGGAAATTTTCACTAGTACAGAAGCCGAGATTCATTTCTAGTTTATGCTCCCAGTAGTTTTATGAATCTCTCTGACATTCTCAGTACTACCACTAACTACAAGCTATTCCACTATATTGCTAACAGCTTAATTTGCCACCATTATTCAACACCATAATTAAGACATGATTATCAAACATGCAGATAAAACAGTCACAGACATTCACATCAAATTCTAACGATAGTGTATCATTTAAGCGTATACTAACTTCAGAACTAGCACCGATCCCAAGTGCTACTGCATTTAGCTGAGACAGCTGCCTAGGAGAAATAGCGCCGGCTTTGCTGTCAAAACTCATGTATTTCGGACTATGGACAATATAGACCTGCTGATTTGCATTCGCCTGGTAACTACAGAAGACTGAAAAAAAATATCACCAGATAACATTACTTGGTCATAGCAAAAATATTTTACTACTAAAATTGTAAAACTCATGAAAATGTACTCGTCTCAAAAGCACCCTTTTAGTATGATCTGCCATAAAATCCCTACATTGTTGTTATCTATTTAAACCTACAAATTTTTTAACATAAATTTGTAATTGCCAATGAGTGCATTTGTATAAATTATGTACAACACATCACAAAAAGCAAGTTAATTGAAAAGATTCGCTTGGTAATATTTTTACTGGGTCAATTGGATTATAGGACCCAGACCATTTTTTTTAGCCAGCCTAAACAGATGTATCCTACATGTAAACATCATGCTAGCAATGTGGCTATGCCTTAGGCCACAATTAAAAAAACATTTGTTTGCCCTCACCCGACCCAGGCTGAAAAGTTTGGGTAGGTAGGAAGGCTTTTTTTGAGTTTTTTTTTTTACAAATTCAGAGTGGTGTCTACATGCTCCGGAGTGCTTGTGCTTTTATGTTGAATGGTTGTTTTGCTTGGTACATATAATGTATTGCCTACAGATTTATATAATGTACAGTGATACCTGAATTTGCTTAAAAAAAAACTGCAATAGAAATTTTTGGAGTCGAGCCCTTTTTGGTGGCGATCGGGTCGGGTGAGGGCAAAACAAACAATTATTTTTTATCATGGGGGGCCTAACGTGTGACTCAGTAAACGGTGAAGAATCAGTAGATCGGCATATAATCCAAGGCCTGTGATGCATATGGTTCAAGCAGCAAAATAAAGAAGGCAGGGAGGCGTACAACGGTAAAATGCTAAAACCATGCTGCAGTGTTAGTACAAATTAATAAACTTTTCCCGTTTTATTGCTGACGATCCTTTGCGAGTATTTATTGATTAGGGTGTCTTACCTTGGTCATTATAAAACAGAACCGCATGTTCACCTACGCATGCCCCTTACGGCTGAGGATAATGATCGCGCGTGGAAAATCTGCGTATTTTCGCCGAAAACGAGACTGGAGAGTCACGTGAGTTAGCTGCATTCTATCTCTCGAAGTGTTTTCAGTGTGTTGCTTCGTTGCCGCTTGCTGTAAGTCGCCATGAGTGGCGACTGACTCACGTAATACTACCAGTAGTTTTGTATATACATCCAGGATGAGACCGCGGATACGTAGAGTAAGCCGTTGGCCGGAAAGGAGATTTCATGCGAAAGCCGCTGAAGCGCAGCATCTTTCGCGCAGTTCCGCGGCAAGGCGCACCGCGACGCATTTCTTGCAACGTGAGTGGGGAACGTCCTACGACACTATTGCAGCGCTGGCAGCTTTATTGGATGTTCCGATGGCGCCGTACATTGAATTACGGGCGCCACGGATCCATAGACTGCCAGCGAAGAAGACTCCGCAATTTTAGTGGGGCCAGGTGGTAGACATTGTGGGACGTGAACAGTGTTCACTTCTTATCAAAAACTGTAACGATTAATCTGTTTGCGCTGTAACAAAGAGCTTGTGTCACGCGAAATGATCGAACAAGACTGTCGAAATTCTGACATTCCCGGCAAACCTTGCCCGAGTAATGGAAACGGGCTGTCAGAATCAGGCAAACACCTACCGGGCGCTCTTTCGCGCGGTCCAACGCGTTTGCAACGTTTTTGCAACGTTCCAATTGGCGAGGCTCGTACAGGCAGGTTCAAAGCATGTGCGCCGATCCTTGCCCGCCGGCTATAGCCCATAGACTTGTGCCTACTCTCTCGCCCACCTCTTCGCTTAGCTTGATCACTCAATGGCTAATCGAGGTGAGAGCGAGTCGTAGTCTATAGTATAAGCCTTTGCACCGTCGCAACCTTCTTAAAGGAGCAGTAGGCCGTATACGGTTAGGAACATTTAACAATTTCGGTAGTTTTAAATATATTCGTATTTAGCTTAGCATTATATTTTATTGAAACGCTTCAAAGTGCCTGTGTCTAGGTTATAGCCTAGGGGCTTAGTTCTAACCCTAGCAAAGAGCCGTTTCTTGCTAGTCGTAGTAGTCTAGTATACTAGTGGTTCAAGGATAGAGAACATGGCTGCAGGTGTTGGAGGCATGTTACAATAATTACTACTTAGAGTACTACTACTAGTACTAGTAGTAGTAGTACTACTAAGTTTACAGCACTAATAGTACTAGTACTAGTAACAACTTACCAGGAAGCCTGACCTTGCCATCACTGCGGCCTGCCGTACGCTACTGTCTCTGCTATATATATACATGCTTTGAAGTCTGACGAATGATGCCGGAAAACAATTCACAGCATCGCGGGGTACATAACCCTTGCAGCAAGAACCACTCCGTTTCCAGCTGCTAGGACACACACGGCCTTTGTCTAGATATAACATCGCATATATAACACCGCTCAGACATAATCATGTACAACAACCATAATCTAGTGAGTCTGGCGTGTCAAAAGACTGGTACGGGACGCTTCATTCGGGCAAGTCTCTTTCGCGTACACTAAAGTTCCTTGGAGCCGTTGTCAAAACTTCTGCACCGCGGGGCAGCTCTATAGATCACTTGTAAACAACCATATTAAAATCAAGGTCAGGTTCTTGCGTGCTCAAAAGACTGCGTACGGACGTTAGTATTCGGGCAAGTCTCTTTCGATACACTAAAGTTCTGCAGTTACTGCAGGCTCCGCTTGTCAAAACTCTGCCACCGCGGGGCAGTCTAAATGGAAAAATTATTTTCAAAATCCGTCGAACACCAGGCCTCGGCACGCCCATCTGTGGGAGCCGCGATATCTACGCAGATAAGTCAGGGCCGTGTAATTAAATAAATTATGAAACTCGCTTTTCTATAGCAAAACAAGCTGACGCAGCCACACGGAAAACATTTTATTTTTTTTTTCAACGACCATTTGGGATTTATTCTCGCCCTACGTGCCACAGTTCGAAAGGCTTCTGCAATCACGCAGAACTGCTGAATTGACCGATACAGCCCCATTTGAACTAGAACCGGTTGAATGTTGTCTAAATGCGAGCAGCGAGTATATTGAAATGGCGCCACCAGTGCGCGCGAAGCGCGCTTTCGCAGCGGGCTGGCTATTTCAGCTGCAGAAGTCCAGCGTGAGGTGGGCGTGAGGTGGGCACAGGGTGCGGGGTCAATCACTATGCATGCAATAACAGACGTCATTCATTCCGATTGACGGAAACACGCGAGCAGTTTCCGATGAGTAATAACACTTCGAGCAGTAGATGCAGTTAACTGACTGATTCTCAGTCCGCGTTTTCGGCGAAATATACAATTTTCACCGTCATTATCTCAGCGTAGGGCATCGTATAATTTATATGAATCAATATGAAGACATCAAATCAAATATATATTGGAAAGTTTATAATTTGACTAATACTGCGTATAACGACGCTCTCCTTCATCGCCTATAAGTTTCTCATGGTATTTACACACACATGTACAGGAATTAACAAATCTATCTATGAATGAAATATATTGGTAACCAACTATAAAACAATTCAATATTTGACCAAAACAGAAACTTAGTTGCATTATTGTGTATGCAATCTGCAGGCTAACAGTACCAGCATGTTCACAATAATGCTCGAATTACGCTTAACCGTTACCCTTGCGTAATTGTAAGTTAGAACTGCTCAAAACCTCGGACATATGACAATTTGCCTCGTACGTAATTTCTGAAAGGACTGACTTCTTTCTCCCACCCGCAAATTGCGGCAGTCATGCCTAATCGCGTCATAACGGGAAAAAGTAATACATGTGCATCAGCTGACTAAATTGCTTGTCGGCCCAACTTAAGAGTGCACAACCAGTTATATAATGTATGCTTCTCTTCTCTCTCTAATAAACATATATTGCCTACACAATTTGGGTGCATAGAACGTGGGTGTTCCTGCAATCAGTGCCTTGCTTTTAAAGGTTTTATGTCTATTTTGATTATGCAATGTTCAAGCGAATGCCTAGATATAACTGGACCTTGGTAGTGTAATAAGTACATTACCGTTATAGCAAACGCGTTATTTAGTTTGTCAATATCGTATTAATTCAATGATAATAATGTATATATGTAATATCTTCTTAATAATGCGGTAATTGCCGGATGCCAAACGCTAATTGTTTGCAAGCTAATATATGCCTCGAAACGGTTAGGGATGTCACATGTTGCTAGGGTGTTGTATGAGCAGAGAATTGTTTGTCCCGGGGGATTTGCTTTATAGAGACGACTAGATGAGTGCGTAGAAATGATATCTCTGGGTGTATTCTCGATATTTGAGGCACAAGGCTAAATAACCGTGGGTCTGCATATGAACGGTCGGTCTACCCACATGTTCTTACAATTTCGGACACAAGTGGCTATTCATTGACCAAATATACGTAAATAGGTAGTGCGTCTGCTTTCCCACTGTTTAGTCTGGTGGCCGTGGTTAGGTCCGGCGATCCGCTATAGTGTTTGCGCCCGCAACACATAGGCCTGAGTTACATTGGTATTCGGCACGAGCGCGTCACGGGGGTGATTTGTACGTGGATTCCCACGGTTATTTGTACAATCAGAGCTACTGTTACGTGATCACTATACTTGGGTGACGGTAACTGTTTACGCCGTACGGTTGTACCTTTGTACTATCGCTAGATTAGGTACGGTGAGCATGCCGTGCGAAAATGTCCGGGTCCGTGCACTTATAAAATTCTGTATCACACTCGCTTCGCGGCAAGCGGTTTCAAAAACCCTATAATGTAGCCAATGCGGATTTTGGACTCGCGGGATTTTCAATTTAGACCATTTTCTTGAGTATACCGATCGAAGTGATAGTTGGGACAAAACTAATTATGCGTTTGGCTATATAATGGTCACTGTACTTTTACATTACACAAAGGTGCCGCAGCCAGTTACTCTAGCATTCGTCAACATTGCATAATCAATAGACCTACACTGCACGGCAACAATTCTTACACTAAACTCCTTTACCTATTTTTACATCATGAAACATTAAATATTTTATTATTTGAAAGTGTTTACTTGCACTTATAATTCTGCATTCACAATTAGTGCTATGACTATGAGTTTATTGCACTCCAGGCACAGTGTGCTAATTCTTATTTTATATTCCCTTTTCGTTTTTACATCTTTAAATAATTAATCTGTTTTTGCTGTCAATATGTCCAATGTCTGCAAATGTTTACTTATATTTAAAATAGTGGTTGTCTTAGCGACGATTCGAGATTACTTACTTCTTTTGGGGGAATAAAAAACTTAGTAGACATACATAACCAATTATATGATGAAAGTAAATGGGGAAAACATGATTTAAATTACTGAAGTTTGCATTTTGCATTACGAATTTTTGATTGAATGCACTACTCATGGAATGTGGATATTATTGTAACTGTAAGATTAAAACATGTATCCTTAGCAGCTGGTGTTCCAGCCATTCACCTTGTCCAATCTTCCAAAGATATCTTCACATGTATTTATTTTTCATGTTTTTGTTATCCTTTGACAGAAATTCACTTTCCTCTTCCTCAGCCAACATCAAAAGCGGGAAGTTTTTCAAGTGAAATCTACAGTGTTGATCTAACCATTTAATCATCAATGCCCTTGGACACACTACTTCTTCGATTTAGCCTGCTGGACTCTGGCAAAATATTTATAGCACTGCTCTATAATAAGGAATGCAGCCACATATCAGCCTAGTTAAGTTTATGTACGTCACACATATTTTTTTTTTAATGTTCGTATGGTTTGTGATGGGTAGCGTAGGATTATGTTAAGATTATGGATAGAGTTATGTTTGGGTTAAAATTGTGGGTCGGGCCATAATAAAAATATTATTTGTTTGCCCTCACCCGACCGACCCGCGAAAAAGGGCCAGACTCAAAAAATGTTATTGATATTTTTTTTAACAAATTGTATCACTGTACATTATATAAATCTGTAGCCAATACATTATATGTACCAAGCAAAACAAACATTCAACATAAGAGGTATCTCCACACAACCGACCTACCTACCCAAACTTTTCAGACTGGGTCGATGAGAGCAAACAAATATTTTTTTAATTGTGGCCTCATAGATTTAGGGTTAGGTTGATGACGCTAGTAACTCATGTAGACAGTAGAGGGCTATTATGTAGACAGAGACGAATCTTCATGCAGCAGTAGCCTATATGTTACCACCTAGTATAGCAATAATATTTTAATAACGTGTTTAACAGTGTTCTTCTATTTTTAAAAGTACCACAGACTTCTAGTCTAGTAAAGGATATTTGTCAAGTCTAAACTTTTTCTACTGTGATGCGTGCTCAATCCTAGTTTGGGACCCGGCCCTCATTATCGCAAATGTGCTAAACTAAGCCGGGGGGCTAACCTAGGATTGGGCCGCAATGCGCAGTGTTGATCCATCGGTTCGATTTGATTGAAAGTAATACTATTACTAATACTAATAGTAATAGGAATGAGCTGCCTTGCCGAAAGAAGACAAAGATGTCGTGCATAATTGTTTTAAGTTACACCTCGTAACCTCGCAAACATTATTCTTCGAAGTTCAATGAACTATATTGAAGAAGGGGAGGGTCAAGGTTAATCAAGCCGATCGACCAACTCTGCGGATTCAACTTGAAGTCTAAAACGTTCCAATTTGCATAATGATAATCTTTAGTAGACTTTACAATTACGAATTAGGGCCTACAGGCTACAGTACAGTTTACTAGAAAAGATATGATACTAAATAGAAGCGCGCTTTTAAACACATTATTATTACTAGGCACCAACATATATGCTATTGCCGCATGAAGACTTATCAAAATAGATCGAACATTAACTCATGAATATACTTAAACTGAGAAGAATAAGATGTATTGCCGGACGAAAACTAAAATTAACGGAGGTCGCCATTGCAAAACAGATGATCAGTAACGTAATTTTTCTTCCGATAGACGTCGTTGCAGTGGAACCAATCAAAACGTCCCACACGTGACGTATTGTATGCGCTGAATAAATATAAGCTGCTCATCTGTTTCACCTTGAGTGCCATTTGCTTCTTCTCTTCGTATCCGTCGTTGTGCCAGGTTCATCTCCAATTTTCACAATGGCTGTTAGTCAAGTTCGTCAAAATTTCCACCAGGAATGCGAAGCCGCTATTAACAAGCAGATCAACATGGAATTGTATGCGTCTTACATATATTCTAGTATGGCCTGGTACTTTGATAGAGACGATGTCGCATTGCCAGGATTCCACAAATTCTTCAATGCAGCTTCAGTTGAAGAGACAGAGCATGCCACAGAGGTAACATGAAGGTCATATAATTAAATGGTTTGGTTTATAGCTAGCAGTGATGGTGCACAACACAGCTGGGGTATTGTCGAAGGATTTATCTAATGTTCTGTATCTTCGCTGATGAGTGATGTGTCAGTTGCGTGAGTTGGGCTTCTATTCTAAGTTCTATATATGACTATGAGTATGACTATGAGTATGACTCTGACTCTGACTCTGAGTATGACTATGACTATGACTATGAGTATGAGTAGGCCTATGAGTATGAGTAGAAATTTTGTAGCATTAAAATGGTTTGCAAGTAGGCCTATTTGAAAGCGTTAATAAATTCCAAAATCTAAATGATACATTGATAGTATTACTATTACTTAGTATTAGTATTACTATTAGTAAATCTAAATCAAGTATTGCAAGTTTCGGTACGCAGGTTTACCGTTCACGGTTTAGTCAAATAAATTACCAAGTTAATTTTCCCTGCTCAATCCTAGTAGTAGTACTAGTACTAGTAGTACAGTACGACCTCCTTTATCCGGCCATCCGTTATCTGGAAATCTCTATTAAGTATTAACCGGCCACGATCTTGCAGTGTATGTTCTCTGTTTTTTCATTCATTTCCACTTAAAAATCTTGCTCAAAGTTCGCTCAAAACTCGCGCGATGTACCAATGATTCTCGCACCAGCTATCACATGCACAAAACAAACACACTTACCGTAAGAGCAAACACCCATGTATGATGTACATGTATAAATATACGGCCGTTATTAATACGAATATTTCACGAATACATACTCACTTGTTGATGCTGTAAAAACTACCAAGGAATAAAAGCTATATACATTGTATACTATATGAATGAACAAAAATGTGTGTATGTGTGCGTGCGTGCGTGCGTGCGTGCGTGTTGTCCACTATGCCTCCTGACAACTTTCGCCCGTTAACGAACAACTTTTACTAGCGGACGTTAGCGAAACGCGCTACCTCGCTACGCACTCGCAATCGATCGAGCCCCATACTTCAATCAAAGGCGCCGCTGCCGCGCACATGTAACAGCCCTAGGCATACAACGCCGTGAGTGTATCGATCGTTACAGCCCTAGATCTCAGCATAAAAGAAACAAACATAAACCGAAGTGGTAAAATTTCTGTTTTATTTTTCATTTTATTTCCATTTCATATAAACCATAAAACACGACAGTTTGTTACAAATAATCAATCGTAGCAACGAGTAAATACATCATCACATGCATAACCCCGACTGAACTGCATAGAAATGCTGTGTTTGAGCATAACTCATATCCGGCCAAATCCCATATCCGGATGGGTGCCGGTCCCGACATCCGGGATTGCCATTAGTCAGTTCAGGTTCAACGGATTTTGCTCATTTTTGGTATGTGAATGAATAAGGGCTAGGGGTTTTGATATTTAAAAAAAATTATGCAAATTAGGTAGGGTTTGGCAATTATATAGCATATTATATAGACACGCAGATAACAAACAGTCTGTGGTGTCACACTCGTCTGGTTCGTTTTACAAGATTTCATTGACAATATCTTTAATGCAAAATTACTGTTATGAACATATATAATGAACTATACTATTAT